GCGTTTATATAGTTTGCAGTCGGCACGATCAGCAACTGAACAAAACTAAGCTTCCTGGGGACAGCAAAATTTTTTCTTTTTTTGAAAACTGACACGGCAGCAGTAAGTCGCAGTCAGTGGTCAGGAACGGGACAGGCGGCGCTGATCCCGTTGTGCCATTCGGCTGCTGCACCTGGAACAAAATTTGGGGAGAGCGGATTAGCGAATCACGGGTGGCGGACAACAGCAGCGAATCCCCCAGCACATGTCAGCCACGCGAACAGTGAAGCGCGGGCCTTCAAGCTCTGGCGATGAAAAAAAAAACCAGTGGCGCATTGAGCTTGATCGCTTTCGGACCGAAAAAAAACATGTGGGAAGCTAAAGCCAACTGTGGCACATGTCAAAGCAAAAAAAAAACACAAACACGCACACATGTATATCTTTTACACTCAAGCAGCAAAGCAGGCTTCTATTGATAAATAAACGAAACACGATAAATAAAGAATTAAGCCGGAGACAAAAGCACCCCCGGACAGACGGTCCTTGGCTTACTTTGCAAGCGAGCCCATGGGGTCCCATGGAGGCAGCACAACAGCGTCCTGGTCAAGCACGTCCAGAACTTCGCTTGGGAGATCGCTCTTTTCCAGCACAATCTGGTACACAAACTCATCGAACCATCTGTCGGTCATGGTCAGATAGCCCTTGTTGCCGTAGTCCTCGCCCCAGCTGTTCTCGATTCGCCAGCGCACGGTCTTGTCGTCCTCGATATGCACGCCGGTGAGCACCATGGCGTGGGTCATCAGGCTCTCGCCGTACTGCAGTCGCTCGGCCTTGTTGGACCCGAATCCAAAGTTAAATGCGGCCTTGTAGTCGATAACCTCAGGGTCGATCATGCCCTTGCCTCGCGACAGGAACTTGCCCACGTCGCAGCCGAACCACACCGGGCGTCCCGATTTGATGACATTGGCTGCGTAGCGCTTGAGCTCGTCGACGGGCAGGTTGATATAGTGCACGTCGTCAGCGCCGACCACGTTGCCCAGGTACTGCACGGTGTACTTCTTCATGTACTCGTTGCGCGGGTCGTTGATCAGCGATACTGTCTCTTTGCAGTCCTGCTTGACGTGGTCCTTGTAGAACTGAAGGGGAGTGATGTCACGGAACTCGCAGAACTCCTTGTCCTTGTTGTAGAACGCCCATGTGACCTTTTCAGGCGGGTGGCCAAGCGAAATGACCATGACGCGGTGGACTTCTTCTAGCATGCTGCGCTTGAGCTTGCGCAGGTCGCCCTCGTGCTTGCCGTCCTTGTGTGCGTTGCGCAGCTGTTTGGCATACTCGCGCAGCTTGGACGTGATCAGCGTGTCCATCTGGCTGGAGCTGGACGTGTGGAAGGTCTCTGGGTACGCATCCTTGGGCACAACCCCGTACTTTTCAATCAGCGCAACAAACATGTCCCACTGGCCACCGTCGCCAATCGGGTCCTTGAGCAGGTACTGCACCACGCGACCGTCAAGGTCCTCGTCGAGGGTCTTGAGAATGTTTTCCAGGAACCAGTTGGACTTTTCCAGCTTGTCGTAGAAAAACAGGTACGGCTGCGACAGCTCGAGCTCCTCGAGCTTGTGCTCCTTCATCATCTTTTGACGCAGCATGTTGAGCCCAGCAAAGATCCAGCAGCGACCGCTGCTCTTCTGGTTGGTGATCGGTGCGTCGATGGAGAGCTTGTTCGAGAACACAGGCGGGTGCTTCAGGTACACATACCGGTTCTCCAGCGCATTGGAATACGACTCGCGCGAGATCGTCAGCGTGGCAAGCTTGTTCTTGATGTCGGCGTCAAAGTCGTCCTTGTAGCTGTCCAGCTGCGACAGCGTGATGTCCTGGGTGGCCTTTGGGTGCTTGTCCATGGCGGGCTCTGATGGCTGCTCTTCGGGCTTGCTGGTGTCGTTGGCGGCTGCTGTGGTCAGAAAGTGACTGGCGTATGATGAGTCGGGTGTGGGCTTTTTGAGACTAACAACAGTCATGGCAGAAGAAAAAATAGGACGGGTTCGGAAAAACGGCCTTTGTCGGAGAGTGGTTGGGCGGCAGGCTATCTTATATAGTGGGAGAAGAGGGCCTTGCATACAATAAAGAATGAATGAAAAACGGCTAGAAAACAACAAAACTTGGTTTCAAGAAGAGAAAAAATGCGTCGACTTGATGCGGGGAGGGATGGGATGACGCACCTTATCGCAAAGAAAGCACATCCAGATATGCTCAGGCTTCCCCTGCTCTGGTCGACAAAAAAAAGTAGAGTGTGTGAACGAAAAAAAAACTGGTGTGCTGTCTATCACGTGGTGGCCACGCAACATCCTTGCTGATTTGCCTCTGACGGTCTTTGTGTGCGAATAGAAAAAGGTTTGTCATCTGACCGCAATTAATCTTGTGCAGCGGCGTTGTTTCTGCTTGTCTCGCTGCCGCATTTAGCTCTGCTGTATATGCGCGAGCTTTGTCTCACTGCCCGACGACAGGCCGCACGGCTACAAGATTTTAGGGAGATTAATACAATTAGTGCCCACGTCGCACATTTCTATTTATGCCTTTGATTTCAAAGGAGCAATTGACTTACCTGCAGGCATTTCGAAGAAGTATGCATGGTCAAGCGCCTTTTGTACATTAATTCGCTTGCGAGGATCATATGTAAGCAGCGCATTCAGCAGCAGTACTGTGTCTGCACTTACGTTGCGCACTGCCAGTCTCAGATTGTTGTACTTATTCTCAGGAAACGTCATTGCCGGCGCCAGCGGCAGATTGCTGAACCCTGGCCAGATCCGCTCGTTTGGCGCTCCGATCATTTCGCCTATCAGCTGCATCTGTTCCCGCTCGGTCTTTCCGGGCATAAACGGCCTGTGGATCAGAAGCTCGCCCATGATGCACCCGACAGACCACATGTCAATCGCCGCGGCGTACTCCGTCGACCCAAGGATCAGCTCCGGCGCCCTGTACCACAGTGTGGCCACCTGCGGCGTCATCGGTCGCCTGGGCTCGTGGAACAGCCGCGCAAGCCCAAAATCCGCGATCTTGAGCTCGCCATTCCTGGTCAGCAGCAAGTTTGGCAGCTTCAGATCGCGGTGGATCACAAAATGGTTGTGGCAATACTCTAAGCCAAACAACAGCTGCTGCACCAGGCTTTTTACCTCGCCCTGCGAGAAGGGTGTCGCCATGTTGTCCAGCAGCGTTCCTAGATCGCATTCGCAAAACTCCATCACCATAAATATGCTGTCGATGCTGTGTCCTGCGGCTATCTCGATTATGCCGACGATGTTTTTGTGCTGTAGCTTTTTGAGAAGCGCAATTTCGCGAAAGCTCGACAACGGTAGTGCTCGCGTCCTCCCATCCTCACTCACGCGCATCCGCTTCAATGCTACTACTGCATTGGTCTTCCTGTGACGCGCCCTGTAGACTATTCCATATGTTCCCTCGCCAATGCGCCCGATCTTTTCGTATTCGTTGACGTCCATACATGATCCGAGAAACCCGTCTTGCGGAACCAAAGCCTGTTGTCCTGAAAAGTCAATAAATTTATCCATCTTTAATCGTAAAAATCGATTGATTGGACTAGGCAGTTGTGTTGAATGAATGCGATAATAATTAGACAAAAAAGAGAGAAAGAAAGGATAAAGAAAGATGCGCGTTAATGCAATGAAACTTTAATAAATAAAAAAAGCATTTAATTAAACTCGATACAAATGGGACATCGTTTGCACGAATAACAAGGTCACTTAATATAATTATCATTGAAAAAGAAAAGGGTGCTACAAAAAGGTGTATAATCGTCTAATGCTCAACATAATCTTCTCGTTGGTAACATTTTTTGACACGCACGTATCTCTGTTTCATCGAGCTGCCAAATATCTTTTGGACAGGCCCAAAAACGACTATTTCCTCTCTCGAAATACCCACATTGTGGTATATTTTGTAGTGCGAAATAAGTTGTCTTTCTGTCGCCGTGCAAAACATGCAATGGTTGCACCAAACTCCATTGATTATAGGCAATCCAATAATCGGATCATCCTCTATCTGTAGTCTATCGCTCAGCCACTCATTAATACCTTTCTTGTCCTTTATTACTAGAGATCGTCTAGACATTATATGCATTGTTGCTGTATTAATGTCGATAGAGTCGTAGTCTATTCGGGTCCTGCGCTTGATCATCGCCTGACATTCTTTAATATGCTCGCGCACCAGCAACGGTTGACAAAGTGCTTGATGACAGGTCCAACACAGGATCAATCCATGTTCCTCATCAATGCTAAGGTTGAGCCTTCGAAGAGCAAGATTAGGAGAGGGTGACTACATGTTTTTCTTTTGTAGTTGAGCAATATTAGTAAAATAAAATACAATATATTAACAATTCCAAGATGTTTTTATGTTATTAGCGTATTATTTTACCTTGTGCTGGATGCCGTTCTCAAGAGACTTGATCATTACACACGTGTGCATGTGTTTAAGCATGCTTTTCCCCTCGAATACCCTGCGACCGCAATGGCATATCAACTTGTCGTCAACCCAGAAAAAATCAACTACCTCGCCATTTCTTAACGTAAATGAGGAACACTGATATTCCATTTGCTTTGAATAAAATACAACACTTGTTTCGTTTGCTTGCTTCTATAAGGTATCAGATACAATCTACACAAGTCGATAAGTAAAAAAGAAAGAGCTTTAGAAAAAAAGAGCCAACTTTTGCCTTTTCCAATGTTTCGTTACATTTAGTGTGTTCCATATGGACTGTTAACACAAGATATTTATGAATAATCACCAGGTTATTGAACCCCCCCCCCAATTTTCGGCGCATAATGCTGTCATAAGCCACACGCATTCTTTCTCTACTTTCAATAGAAGCATGTAAGGGTTATCGAAAAAAGAAAACAAATAGCCATGCACCACAGTTATTCTTTTTCTTATGCTTAAAAAAGCCTCCACAAAATCGGCGCAGTATAGCCAAATTGAGTGATAAATGTAAGCATACACAAAAACAAAAAATTAATTGCTATCTCCTGGAATCGAACCAGGGTTATCACGGCCACAACGTGATGTACTAACCACTATACTAAGATAGCGCAATTAACTGGCTTCTTAGACCAATAAGCCAACTCTGTTATGCCAAAAAATATTTAACGTACAGAAAATGTAATATTTTTACTGTTGTCTGCGAAATTGCGGATTTTTTTTGTCAAGTAAACGTATTTTACTTTTGTACACTTTATCTATAGAATATTATTAATACAACTCGTTTACCAGCTAATTATTTTAAATAATTTTATGTTTTCTTTGTAAATTACGTGTAAAATAAGCAGATATTTTGTAAAGCTTGATGTTGTAAAGTCCCATGATTTCTATGACTTCAACTTTGCGCATGTGTGATAATATCACATATATCCCAAACATTAAACAATTCCACGCATTGAATTTTGAAAAACCTGTTGCACTCGGGTACTTAATGTTGTTAGCAATGTTATTCAATGTAGAGGAGGCTTAGTTCTGTTTGGTTTATTTTAAGTAGAACATTACATGATGAGTTTTTTTATAAAAACATTTGAAATATCAGTGTTATATTCGAAAGTATTACTGTGATTTACAAGTGTGAAGGACTCAAAATAGGACAATTGAAACACGTTTTTGTTGTTCTGAAAAGAAATAAATAATATATAGTTTGCGCTTTCTTGATAGCATATTTAGAACACTTACAAACCTGTTAAGAAAAATAGTCGGCATAATAAATTAGTTGTTTCTTTGCATCGGGCTTTGTCATTCCATCCCCCGATGTTTGTTTGTAAACTGTTAAAATAAAAATATATCAGCATTTGCTGCGGTTGATAGCAGACCTTCGTTAATTGCAGCTCTACAATATGTGCCGGCTATAATATATAACGGGTAAAGTGCAGTTGTATTACTAAAAATTCATTTCAGTTAAAAAAGCGCTTTTGTCCAAATTTGTGTGTTTTGGACCGCGACAAACAAAACTTTCTACTGTCTTATATATATATTTATTTCTTGGTGGCATGTTTAGAACACTTCAACAAACCACTCAATCTAAAAAATATTGACACTGTAAGTACGGTTTTCCATTCGCGTCGGGCTTTGCCACCGCATTCCTATTTTTTTACTTATAAATATTTTAATTTCCTTTTCCACCGATCTAAAAGAGTTTGTGTATATCTTGTGACTTTGCTTTCCCTTTGTGTTTACAAAGGATATGATCATGTAATACATAGGGGACGATCGTGTTTTTTTCTATAGTTTGCTTATGTAGCATTTCCAAACATGGCCAACAAAGCACAAACGATCCTAGATACAATCATGCGACATGGAATCTCAGGCTGTGCACATCCTTTTGTACGAGGTACTGTATAAAAAAACAAATTCCGTTGCCAAGCGCCCGTGGTATCTGAATATCCTTTTCCACTGCACAAAGGGATAAATTTCAGCATTTCCTAATATATCCAAATGCTCCATTATTGACGAAAAGTAGATAGCGCAACAACAAAGATACCTCCTCCAAAATACCTACCGATAATGCATGTAGAAACAGCCCTCTGGTCCTGAGTTCAACGGATATGGTAGCTTTTAGTTTTCTTACAAAGAAGCGGCATTGCCTGGGATCCATATTTTTTATTCCCTTCCCCTACACCAAAACACACTGGCAATCACTTTCCTAAAAAAATAAACTGGTTCTATACAAATAGCAAAAAAAAACTAGGAAACCGCTTCCAAGAAAAATACAGAAAGAAAATGTATATATATCTAAAAGTCTTCAGTATTTGTCTATTGTCGGCAAAATCATCATTCGCAATTCCTCCCTCCCTCCTATCATTTCC